GCATTTTCGTGTTTTTGCTCGCTTAACCGCACAAGCGACATAACAAATTGCCGAATTTGATCTTTGTCATCCTCGCTTTGCTACAACCAGTGTGTCTGGATTACTTTCAAAGCATAGATGCATAAAGGCAAAAGCCGAAAGAAATATCCAGCACAAATGACAAAATGAGAAAAACACTAGAAAAAAAGTAATTATTCAAAACTAAACACTTTGTTGTTCGTTGCGATCAACTGCGTGTACAGCATGTTGCAGCTGGCGATTGTGCTTTCGATTAGCATCATATCCTTTACAGCATCCAAATAGTCCTCCAGATTGCCGGTTCGTGTACAGTTAGCTGCCTTTTTGCAAAAACTGAGCAGTCTGTCCCCAACAACAGGAAAATATAGCTTTGCTTTAAAAAAATTTGGTCAGTAAAAGAAAGAAAATGACAAATTTAAAAAACAGTTTGAGCTAAAATCTAGCTTGCGCATCAGATGAACTCGGCCTAAAAGCGCAGACAGCACTGCGCAAGCATAAAACTGTAATTCTATGAACTCCATGAAAAACAAGGACACCCAAGTATCTCTGCAACTCGAGAACTATAAGTCACCTGTTTTCCTTCCACTTCACCCTTCCCTGCCTTTACTCGGCAGTGTTTTCACTGTTTTTTTATTTCTAGAGATATTTGGGAAGCAAACTGACGACGACACAACAAATTAGGATGTGAGCCATACTAAATTATCACTACAATGCATTCTTTTTCGTTGGCTTTATGCCCCACACTTACGCTATGAAAAGTGTTAATTGGCAATTTAGAAATGCAAAAGTAGAAAAATTTTTTCTAACACATGAAAAAGTAGAAATATTGCTTCTACCACCTTTAAAATCCCTTCATTCTACCATAACCTACTAGAGCAGGAAGGGGATATGGGCAAGAAGTAGTCTGAGACCCCAACAGATCAGAAAGATGTACATTCACCGATGCGTAAGTTTAGAATAATTTAGAGAAACAAAATTCTTCAAATACTAACATTCTTCTAGTAACTGTGACGCGGCGAGTTTGATTAAAATCGGTAAAATAGAAATAATTAAATTCGATACTGTGAAATTCTCGAAGTCATTAAAAATCTGAAACAAAAACTATCATTGGTATCGGGAGTTGCTTACAAAATATTCTGCTTACTAATACCACTAAAAACCACTTTAATAGCAGCTCGTGGGTAGTCGAACAATGCTTTCTGATGGTGAACAGATCTCGGCTGAGCCTGACGCCACGCTTCTTGCCAAGTGTTGCCCTCACCCATCATCCGACTCGATAAATGCCCTAAAAGTAATCAATGGACCGAACCAAACATGAAACACAATTAATGTTCATGTTTTTAATTAAAGAAAAAAAAGACGGCTGACTTGCCTTCACCCGCACTTTCATCATCCGTAATAAAATCTCGAGGGGAATGCCAACGAATAAAATCTTCAAAGCAACAGCCAGGATTTGCAGCCTATAATTTTTTTATTTCTACATGAAAAGCGCGACAAGACCTAATGCTATCAGTAATCAAAGTTTCAAACGTCACAGTTACCTTGAACGCCTCCATGTCTGAAAAAAGTGGTTCAAGCTGGGCTCTAATCCGATCTTCAACTGTCTCCAACGAAGATAAATATGCGGTATGCTTTTCAAGCATATCCTCTGTTATCGGCGCACGGCTCTGGAAAAAGCATGGTTAGCAATTGTTGCAAGATGAGCTAAGCAGTGCACACTTCTCGACAAAAATCAAAAATACCTGTGTGATAGGTTCATACATACGCCTATCTGGATAATGCAAAAGGCATAAGGAACCGGATGGCCTCAGACGTCCATCAGGCTGGTATTCTATGCTTCCAGTGCTATCAAGCTCCTCTTGCGCATCAAAAAAGTCCTCTTCATCTGCAATCTTGTTAAAGTGCTGGGTATGGTTAAAGAAGCATTAAAAAGGCTATAACTTTCTTCAGGTCTAATTCATTCAGTTTCTATCCATCCATCATAGGTGACCTCGAAACAAACAAGCTTTTTTTCATATCAGTAAATCAGAAAGGTAAAGGCGCATTTCAGCTACAGTGTTTATCTTTTGCAACAGTTTTTGCCACACTTGCTTTTGTTCAAACTTTATGTGCAAAAATTGTTAATGTCTTCAGGGTACGGAACGGACCGTAAGAGACCGCCTCTAACATAACATGTTGCTAAAGACGAAGCCACGCGTTACAAACCGTGTCACTATAGCAAAGGAAAGGTACTCTCTGTGATGGGAAGAGCAGCAGATTCTTGGAATATACAGGCATGACCAGCCACGATGAGTTTAATCAAAAAGGAAAAGTGCAGGATAACGTCATAATTACGAAAGAAAATATGCTTCAACGAACTGACGTTCCTCGCTCTACCTGCAGCTACTGGAGATCGCACAGCACTGTGTAAAATAGTTTCTAGAATTACCACCACGAGTAGCTTGAATGACAAAAAAAAAAATGTTGCTAAGGCGCAATCACACGCCAGACGCCACTACGGCAGTCTTATTTGCCCTCAATAACCCGGGAAACTACTTAAATTATATCTCATTAACACCCCGCCCCCCTCGCTTTCTGTTCAAGCCTACACTGGGGACAAGCTCGAACAAACGAAATAAGGCGCAGTAGTGCCTATTCAATTTGCAGAAATACGTAGTCTGCTCAAACGACCTTCGAGATAGTTCGAGTAACAAGTGAGTGGTATTCACAACAATGATAAATGGTAGCCACATTTGAATTCAACGCTCCATACAGAAAAGAGCTGACAATGTCAGTGAATTTCTAAAGTCAGTTTTTTTTTATTTCCATATACATCCAATTATAAAGTAAAATAATTCAGACTGGAATGCTCTCAAAAAAAACACTGTCAAAAAAATAGTCAATGAATGAGTAAAATGAAGTACCCGAACTATGCTGCCGCCTTCGTTTAGGAACACATATCTCGCCTATTTCAGCTCGCCTCTTTGCTTCAATTGTGCACTGCAACAGCTGCAGATTTTGATGAAATCTACAAGTGGATAAATCTGGAGCAGATGCCTCTTCCATCCTGAAATAAGTACTGTACGTTTGAAAACAATGTCTTGATTACCACTGAAAAAAACCACAGTGAAGCGCACCAGATTCATCCTGCAGACAAATCGCCTGCACCGGGCTGTGACTGTGGTATTATAACTTGAATATTTAATTCGTTTGTACACGAGATACATGCCTAAGCAGAAACTTACTTTACACTTGCTGGCTCACAGATGAACAGCAAACGTCCTCAGAAGAATACTGCTCTCTGCTCAGTATAATTATTAAGTCAATTAAGTATCAACAGCGTCCCAAATCACAATTTCACTTGCACAGACGCAAGACTCAGGCGTACTTTAAAGCTGAATGTGAAATATTTGGATTGCGCATGGGCATTCGTAAAATTTTAGCTGCCTAACTTGACTAGTTGGCGAAGTCGTTTTTCGCTTTGTGACGTGCCCGAATGCGCCACACAGAAATGCGTTAAATCCGTCCGCATATAAGCAGAGAATAGTCATATAAAATTCCAGTTTCCCACCTTTTTCGGTTCCCGAAATCGTTTTCCCACCGAAAAATCTGCGTGGCTTTTTTTCAACAGTATGTTTTTTTGTGTTTGCATAAAAATATAAAACTGCACAAAAAAGTATTTTTTTTTTTTTTGAAATAACGCACTGTGTGGAGAAAGTACTGCTATAAAATGAATTATAACTGCTGGTGTTAGATGATGCAAAACTCTTCGAGTTTCTACAGTGTAACTCTCAACAATCATGAAAATATAAGTGAATGGAAAACGCTGCATTCTTTAAGGATACTATACTGGTGGAAAGAACAGCAAAACGCCTCTTCAGCAGGCGCCCAAATGAAATATCACACGGTGTAATTTCAATATGCGAGCAGCTGCCAGATGGGGTACTTCCACACTGTTCGGGCATTCAGCGCTCTTACAACTGTGTTACATGCAGTGAGTATAAAACGATATATCAATACCAGTAAAATGATACAGAAAAAAAAGTACCTAATCGGAAAAAATCGTAATGTCAAAGCAGTGCAGTAAACACAGGAAGGCAAATTACGTCGTCTCTGTTCCTAAGGAGCATCAGAACTGTTTGTGGAAGGAAAAAATTGGCCAACGCACGGGCTGCCCGCGCGAAGATGCGTTTTTTGCATGGTTCCCCGTAGTTT